AGAGGAGTCTCCAGCATCTAAATTAGCCCTGGCTGCACTGCCTCTGATCCCAGGCACCTGAAGCAGGTAACGAAGGCAGGTCCCTGGGTGAGTGACATGTCTCCGTTCACTGTGGCCAGGAAGCTACCACAGTGTTTGGGTTATGTTCTCTGAGTTCAACTCCTCGAGCCTCATGCTTGGTTTTGCGCAAGAAAGGAAGAAAAGGACGTTCAGCTCTGACCTGTGGGAGGAATCTGAGAAGCTCTGGGCAGGACTTGTTCCATCCCCAAGCTTGGAACAGAGCTTTTTCCACTCCCACCCTTGCTGTCTCTCATGGACACTTCACGGACATCCTCAGGACTAAAAGACACTCAGCCCCAATAGTTGGCAACCGCTTTACTTCTACTGATCATTTCCTGAGAGTTAAGCATCCCTGAAGGAAAGTGATCCAGAACTCTAGGTGCCCTTGACACCAGTTAAAGCTATGATCTATAGCAATAAAGCCATTACAAAACAAAACCAGGAGCAAATCCCTCCAGCAAACAACCAGTTAGTGAAAAATTTGAACCCAAAGTCTCCTCCATCAGTCCCTGCTGCCGCAGCCCTCCCTGGCACCTCTTCCCACAAATACGCTCGGGGAACCAAGGTAGGTCTTTGCACCAGGCTCAGCTTAGCGATAAGCCGAGGACACCTAAACACTCTCTGCGTTAATGGGAATCTAATTGGGCATCCAGATCCGTGACACAGCTTGGAAAGCTGTGGTGCTGTGGGTGATAACTCATTTGGCTTGAGGTGCTGCTGGCCGGCACCCAGGGGCAGCAGGCAGCTCTGGAAGGGCTTGTGGCCGAGCTCATCCTTTCCCTGATGGTGTAAATGCAGCTTCCCACCATCCTGAGAAGCGCCAAGTGCCCCAATCTCACCCAAATGCAACAGGTTCATGGGGATGGGGAGGAAACCCCAGTCCATGCAGCAACTGGAGCAAACAGCTGTGGGACCTGATGGTCCCACTTTTCTGCACCCTTTTCCTTCTCCACCCATCCTCTTTCAACCAAGCCCCGTCCCACTTCCTATCATTTAACCATCTCCTAGCTTTATTTCTGGTTACTGCCACATTTTGGCTGGCAGAGCAGAGGGTCCTTTCCCCAGGGAGGAGAGAATGTAAAATTTGCTCAACTACCTAAATGGGAAACAAGACTGCCATTCTGGTCTACAAAAGATACCAGGAAATCACTTCACATTTCTTCCCCCTCCAAACCTGCCCACCTTCTGCTGACTCCTGAATGTTAATGTTATTTATGACAAGTGATTGATGAGGGGGATGCAGAATTCACACCCAGCCCAGGGCATTTTCAAATCACCTATTCATTTTTAAGGACCGGAATCAGTTTTGTATCCTGACATGATTTATCATTTGGAGGTTGAGCAGCGGCTATGCAGGGCCAGTTTCCAGACCTTGACAGAGCATCACCAGGCTGAAGGCAGTGGTGAGTAGTTAACCCTTTGAGGGGTGAGTAGAAGATCACAGAACACCAGTACTCAAACTATATTGCTTAAGTTGGAGCCTTCTATTCCAGCAGCATGTCAGGCCATCATATAGCCTTCAGCTTCAGATGCACAGACCATGCTGGTCCAAGCTAATAGCCTCAGTAATGCTGCTATATTTCTTAAAAGCAGAACTAGGTTTTTATCTTCTACATAGCCTGGCTATGTGTAAGAGAAATATTTATGTAAGACACTGTCATCGCAATGCACCTAGGAGAGATCAATGGCACGTTTCCCCTCCAGTGGACCTTCCAGCCTACACAAGCCTCTGTGTCTACGGCAGAGAGAACTCTCACCATGGGCTCAGGAGAGGTCTAGCTCCAAGTCAAATTCTGGTTCCTTTCCCTCGGAAATGCGCATTTCCTCAGGTTGTGTATGGGAAAAGGGAAAGATCAGGCACGTGGGACGGGCCTGACAGCTGGGAGAAGGCAGAGCTTCTCAGGTTGGGAGAAGCTATATAAAAAGGGACAAAGTGGGAATGACATGTCCCCAGCAAAGACAATCTGTATTATATGTTTGATGCCAGCCTGCCAGTGGTTGGCACCACCCACAGAATGAATTAATACATTGCATTAGCATGGAAAAGCAAACAAACACAAAACAAGTGGGTGAAGCAGCCAAGTCCAGAGGTGACACTGTGGCAGCTTTGTCACAGCCCTTTTCTCTTGCTTCAGGAGACACTATAGCACAATGCAGCCTCTCTCATGAGCAGGGGGAGGTATTCAGAGTACAGATGGCAGAAAGCTGCCATCCAAGGCTACAAGACCTGGGTCTAGCTGTCCTCAGTACCTTTAATATCAGCCCAGCATCTCGGGGAGAAAGGTTTTAAAGCTCAAGGGCATCACAGATTCAAGCTTAGGAAGTTACCTAAGGGGACAGGGAGGGGGAGATGTTCATAGAGAGTCTACCTGGGGAGTCATATGGAGGTGTCTTCAAATCACTGTTGACTGTTGGGACCCAGCAGGGACTCCTGGATTTGTAGCATCTGGGCACTTCAGAGAGCCAGTGCAGCCAGTTGTGACTGATGCCACAAAATCCTTCAACTGTCTGTACACTGAATGGTTTCCTCCCCTGCCTGAGCAGCTCCTCACCATGCCATTCCCGCAAACGGCAATACCTTCCTCAGGTGGGAAGGCTGCAGATAAGTAGATTATGGGGCCTGTGGCCGAGCTCATCCTGTCCCTGATGGTGTAAATGGCACCATCTCACCCCTCCCGTGGCAGCAGCTTCCTCAGCAGATGTAGGCAATTCCAAGTGCCAGTCTTGCCTTCACACTCCTGGCTTGCATTAAGTGCACTGCGATCCCCTGGGATCCTGTGCAGTCATGGAGCCCCACTTCATGAAGCATAAAAGCTTCTGCTGACTCTTAGAAAGAGCTAAACACATGGGTTGAGCTGCTCTAGGAACAGTCAGGGCTGTTTTCAGCAGCACTCTGCCATATGATTCTCTGGTGTCTAGTAAGGGTTGAGTTCACACAACAGTTTTTCCCCTTGGTGGGGATGGCTCTTGTCACTGTCTTGCATCTTGTTTTCACAAAAATACTGGAGGTGCTGAATATGCCTGGAGCTCCTATACTGCAGCCATATATGGTTGGTATTAGCCCAGCGGATCTAAAATACTGAAAGACTGAGATAGATGTACGTACGTTCTCACATACCCATCACCATGGCATAAGCTGTGTTTCTTAGGAAACCAGGCTAGCAGCAGTGCCTGGTATCTCTGTTTAGGAGAAGAGATGAACTCTGAATGCAAGGCTGGATGTTATAAGCCACTCTCTACTGCTACCACCTGCATGGCTATGCAGTGCTCCTGCAACAGGGAGGAGAGCAGAGCTTCCAACAGGGGTGGAAAGGGGTAAAGTATTTGAGAAGGAATGAGGACGGGCACTGTGGTTTTGCGTGGTTTTCTTGGCATACCCTTGGGCAGTGCAAAGCAGATGGGACAGCCACCTATAACATGACTCTTATGCTCTACTTCCAGGCACAGCAGTGGCCAGGGAGGTGAGTACACCCAGCTCCTGCACGCTTTCCCCTGCGCTGCTGCTCTTAACGTCGCTGGGGCTTCATGTCAACACACCCACATGGGATGGAGGAGCTTGCAGTATCTGCTGGCAGCGAGGGATGACATCCACATGGCTTGGGCTGTGGTTTTCCTCCTGGAGACTGGGCCCACAGGAACAATGAAAGGAAATTTTTTGCCTTGAAGCCATCCCTGCTGGACATCCTGAGGTGCCCTCATCGGACTTGATGATCTTAGAGGTCTTTTCCAACCTTAATGATTCTATGATTCTATGCAAGCGAGTGCCCAGCCAGATGCCCATCTAGTGGCTTGTGAGCAGGCGCTGCTTGGAGGCACGTGCTCGGCGGTGGTCAGTCAGAAGGGCTGCTTCAAAATGCTTTTTGGAGTGGAAGTGGTACTACAACTACAACGCCATTCCTCCATCCCCAGAGGAGTTTGTTCAATGGAAATTTTATACTTGGGAAACTAAAAATAACATGCCCATCCCAGGAACTTTTTTTTTGGTTTAAGGGGGCTGGTTTTGTTTCTGCTCCGTTTTGCATTGAGAGAGACAAGAAAAGCCAAATTGTCCTGGCTGTACCTCTCCTTTGTCCTCTCCACCCCACTGCCCAGTGGGCCAAAGAAGTCTTTCAAAACCTCACAGCAGTCAGGTTTGTTTCTTCCTAGAAAAGAGGTAAAAATGACTTTACAGGGAAAATAATAATGGAAGTTTCCTGTGCAAAATAAATGATCAACAGTTGCTCTCCAGTGTGTGGCCTAAAGAGCATCTCTGTTGAATGTTTCTGCAGCTCCCAGTACAGTGGGGTCCTGAGCCATGAGCAGAAACCATCGCAGTGGTGGTGGCATCAATCTAAGGTGCTACGTACTGAAGAAGAGCCGTTGGACCTGAGGCACCCTGCCTGCCCCTCCCCAGCACCACAGGCCAGGCCTGGGCACCCAAGTTTCACACCATCAGACCATTGCCATGGAAACCATCTCCAGGTACCTATTTCAGTCCTCCTGGGAAGCGCGCTGCTCCCCCTCCCAGCCACCACTGCTCTGGCTCAGCCAGAGTCGTGCAACTGGCCCCAAGCATCCTGCGCCCACACGCTTCCCAAGCAGGAGAGGGCAAAGCCACCAGGCAAAGGTGTCTGTCCACACATTGCCATTGGAGACCAAAGAGCATCATCATCCTTCTCCCTGAACTCCTGAGCGTGGTACGTTTGCTGAGCTCACCAAGGGCACTTGAGGACCTTGCTCCTAACCAGGGATGGCTGTCAAGCCTTTCTAGCACCAGCTATGAGCGGGTCAGAGCACCTCTTCCCAAGGGAAGGGTAACAAATCCACCTCTTCTCATGACAACACCACCTTCACACCATGTCTAGCCAGCATGACACAACCTGCCAGCAGTGCTGGGCCAGCTACCTCCCACGCTCTCAGTTGCAGTGATACCGCGACCCTGCAGCAATGACACAACTCACCATCTGGATGACAGACACCGGCCCGATGCTGTTCACGTAGATATCCACATCGATAAACGTGGGCTTGACTATAAAGAAAATAAAATAGGTATGGATGAGCTGGGGCTAGGATCCTTTGTGAAGGGCTGAGGACCAGGGGAGCATCTGGGATCAGTGTGGCTCCATCTCACCAAAAATACTGACTACAGCAGCCACAAAAACATGGAAAACACAGGACACAGCCAGGCCAGGTCAGGTCAGGTCACCATCTGTGGCCACAGGGAGCTTCAGGGGACACTTACTGCCAATGTCGGGCCTCAGCTTGTTGTCATAGTTCTTCAGCAGCAAATTGAGGATCTGTGTGGCATCAGTCTCCTGTGCCTTGGGGGTGAGGACCCAGGTTTTATTGATGCTGAGGTAATCATAATCGTATTCCTCTGTGCTCTCACACCTGGAGCAGAGAGACAAAAGGAGAGAGACATCACTGTGGCATCTCTCTGGCACTCTGTGGGAGTAGGGGCACAGCTGGGTTTCAGAGATACTAGAGGAGGAGGATGCAGAGCTGCTGAAAGGCAGAACATAAGGAGCTCAGGGATCTCCTCTCAGCCACGTTGCTAAGAAGACACAAATCACCTGGCGCCTTCAGGGTCCCCAGACATGCAGGGGCCTTGCCGCCAGTGGTCAGGACTAGCAGGCATGGGATGCTCTACATCCTGCCCAGCTCCCTTTGGAGACACACTGCTCGTCCCCAAAGCGTGGGAGCCAGTCCCTGCCCTCCCCTGCCCATCCTGCTCCGGGCCCTCCTCTGCTGCCAGCAGCTCCTGCTCCTGGAGCTGCCTGTTAACCTCTAATACCTCAGCTGCTCTGCCTGCTGCTTGCACCTGAAGCGGGCTTCCCCCTGAGGAAGAAGACAGTGACCAAACAGCATTTTTGGGAAGCAAGGTATTTACAATAAAAGCATTTCAGAGAAAAGAAGTCCTAAAACTACCAAGCAGGCAGCATGCATGTCTGGCTTGCTAGGAACTCAGCCATCTGCCCTGCACAGATCCTGGGAAATTAAAGCCTTATGCAAACTCCACTGCCCTCAGGCCAAGACCTGCCACAACCCATTCCCTGTACTCACCAACCCTTCCTCCCCAGCCTTTGGCGTGAGCTCCCATTTAAAGATGCTCCATCTTCCTGATCTTCGAGTTCTAAGCCAGGCGAGGAAAGCTTGCATCCTCCTTTGGACACGATCCAGCTTCTCCCACTGCCTTTCAAATCTGCCCTCTCTAAACCTTTCACACCCTTCCCTTTTCCTAAAGGAGTTTTCCTAAGCCCTCTAATTAAATTAGGTCCACATGGTCAGCTGGGAAATTCTAACCACCTGCTGCTGCTCTGGGCAGCTCATTCACAAGATTGTCCCCAGAACGACACAGCCACATGCAGGAAAGCAATCCCACACCCGGCACACCCCCCTCGACGTCTGCCATGTCAGCGCGTCACATGCTCCAGCACCAGAAAGGGTCTCGCAGCAGGAGCTGCCATTGTGTTGACACTTCCCAGCTGGAGCCTCGCAGCTCTGAGGTGCAGTCAGGCACCACTGATACACATCTCCCTTCAGTGCCTGGGGAGGCAGAGCCTGGCAAAGTACTTGAAGGGGGGAAAAAAAACCATTAAACTAACATGTTGCAGTCAATTTATCAGATGCTCCTCTTTTAAAACCCCAGATAAAACTTGCTTTCACAATCGTTTTAAAACTGTCTGCATCTCCCCAGCTTTCAGGCACTGGGATGGGTCCCCCGACAAGGGCTGGGCTGCGTGCAGCTGGCTGCCTGCCGCCACACGTTAGGTATTGGCACATCAGCTTGTTGTTTCCTGTCTGATTGCGCTGCACTTTCTAACGATGCTTAAGGAGTCTTAAGCAATGCTGTCAGGATGCGCTTCCCTATCTGAGCAGCGGCAGCGCGGGCTCACTTGGCTGTCGTGCTGTCGTGTGCCTTCGAAATGCAGCCAAGCAGACAGCTCTGCAGCATCCAGCAGCTGCAGAAGGCACAGGGGACCACCGCTGCGCCCACCTGAAAGCTGGCCAGAGCTGAAATCTGGGGCCAGCCCCGCTCCTGCGGAGTACAAAGAGGGACATGTGTGTCTGTCACAGCCCAGCTCAGGGCAGGGGAAAGCAATCCTAACTGCTTTCCCTTGCTGCCAGCGTTTTGTGTGATGCAGGCTGCCTCTAGCAGAGTGGGAACAGCTACATCAAAACCTTATCTCAGTGTTCCCTTGACCCTACTTGAAGTCAGCCCAAGACAGGTCACCTACCAGCACTGAACTCTGCGTGTCCCACCGCCTTGCCAAAACGCAGTTCCTGCAAGCCGTAAGGCCACAGCAGAGTCCAAAACATCCCTCCAAGGCCGAACAAAACCAGGCTGGTTACTCTGACCTCAGCCTTCTAGCTTCCCCCCATTTAGTGTCACTGATTAACACGTTAAGGCTTGGGTAGCATGTCCAGGGAGTCACATCCCTGTCACAGATGCAGTGACGCTACCAAAAATATGCTTTTTGCTAATGCAGATAATCCTGGACTACTAAACCATACTAAGCCATCTTAGCATAAGCAAGCCAGCTTTTGCTGGAGAAAGTATGCTTTTGCTGAGTATCTGTGCACACACAGACACACACCAGCTCTTGCTGGTCAGGAGTGTGACTTTCATGCCACCCTATGCAAACCCCTGCCTCCTCCCCAGTCTCCTTCCCAGTGGTCCCACGTCAAATCAAGAAGGGAAGAGTCCAAGAGCTATTGCAGAGGAGAGGAATTAAGGTGTACATGATCCCACACAGCTGCTAATGGAAATGTCACACTGCAAACCTGCAGTGATCCCCAACACGCTGTGAACACTTGCCGGCCCGGCAGCCCTGTCTCCTTGTGCAAAGCGACTGGCTCGGTGGCAGGGGACAATCAGTTCTCGTATGTCTCCATGCAGCCAGGAGGAAAGGCAGAGCCACGTTTCCACCCGCCTTTTGTTGAAATGTCAAAACGTCTGCCTCACAGCACTCCTGCGCTCGTCCACGGGGCTGAGATGCAGCTGCAGGCATGGGCAAGGCGTGGGCAGGGGGATGATGGCAGGGCAGAGCTGGGGACATTGCGAGGAACCCCCTGGTCTGACAGACGTGGCTGGGGCCGTGGCAGCTCCAACTGGTGCCCAGAGCAGGAGGCCTGCACAGCAGGGAGGTATCCTTTCGGATGCACTCACGTATATGGATGGGGTTGGACAATCCTCCTTGGGCAGCCCTTGGTATTACAGCAGGACAGTGCCCTGCCTTGCCTCCCTAATTCTGTTTTGCTCAAGCAAACACCTGTTTTGCTGAGGTTTCCAAGCACACTGATGATCAAAGTAAAAGCCACCCAAAGAGCTGGTGGCTGGCTCCCTCCCCCAGTGCCCAAGCTGTCTGACAAGGTTTCCCTTGGCAGGAGGAGGGGAAGAGCAACATGTGCCACGAGCCCTCGAAGACACTTCTGCTCCTTGCCTGGTAGGACAGCTGATGGTGCTTGACAAGGATGCATACCAACTACTATTTGCAACCTGGTGTGTGTTAATGAAGTCTGAGACCAGTAAAATTTTGTACTGAGCCCTGCACCCACTGGGGAGGTGACACACACCCTCCTAGCTATCCCTAGCCTTAAGGCAGGAATGTCCTGGAGCAGATGCAGATACCAGGGCTATGATTATCCAGCCCCTCTGCAAATGCAGCTCAAAGCCTCCTCTGCTCCTGAGGAACAGACAGCAACAAAATGCAAGAACAACATTTCCCTCGGTTGAAAAGCACTGTGGTCAATCCTAATTACTACATGCTAATGTGTCCTTCTAGACACCCATCCCAATGCCTCCAAGAGTTGTAGGCACAGGGATGTTCAGGCAAATTACTCTAAATTCGAAGCAGGCAGAGGATTTAAGGACAGGGGGCTCGCAAATCTGTATCCTACCCGTTTCACATGTCTTTGTACCTCTCCTTTCACAGCATGCTCCATGAAGCCCCAATGGTCAAGTCTGCACAGTTTAACCATCCGTCAAGCTCAGCTTTCCGGTGGCTCAGAGTTGGGTGCCTTAGTCCCAGCCGAGGCAGTGCCCTGGGAAATGCTGGTGAAGTAGGCTCTGCGGTGGGGGGACTGTCTGGGGAGTGCTGAGTCACCCGGCACAAAGCCCGCTCCAGCACCAGGGGATGGGTCTTGCAGGTTGTGCCGGAAGAAAAGCTCGCACACATGTGGCAGCTGAACAGGGCTCCTCACCCCAGCACCCACCATCAAGTGCAGGGCAGGCGAGATTCACCCCCCGCAAGCTGCAGCCAGGAAAAATGCAGTGAATGCAGAGTAAGACCCTGATATAACTTGCTCCTTTTTTCCTTCTTCTCCGACAGGCTTCCTCTCCCACTCCATCACCCCCCCAACATGCACAGACACTGCTCCTGGCAAAGCGGGGCTGAGGGAAGAGGTAGACGTGAGGGACTGGGCAGAAGGGAAGCCAGGCCAGCTACGGGGTAAATCTTCCCACTGAAGGGCATGTGAATATACAACTTAACTGCTCCTCCATGTGATCTTGCAGCTTACGACTCACCCTCTCAAAACGCAGTGCTTGTGGCAGTGCGCTGCAGGGATGGTAGGACAAGGAACCAGGACCACCACGGACCCCCCTCTTGGCCCTCAAATGCCCCCCGGCACCAGCACACTGGCGAGAGGCAGCTGCCTGGGCACGAGCCATGGAGCAGCTCTCGCTGCCTTGACCCTGGGAAGGCCAAGCCCTGGAGAACCGCGGCAGGGACGGACTTTCTGTCTGCACCCGAGGTCAGGAAGCCTTGGCAGAGCAGACCATTAGTAGCAGGATTCATACTCCCCGACCCTGACTGCATTTGTAATGGGATTTGATCTGCTTTAAGGCAGCTTATTCTGCCAATTAGCTTCAGCCAGTAAAATCCCTCTTCCCCTGAGCCCTGGGGGCAACAATCTGCTGACAACATGTTCTTTCCCCGATCTAGCCATTAAACTCACCAGGAGGGCTAGGAATAGTAAAAAAAAAAAAAAAAGGGGAAAAAAAACTTGAAAACCCCTTGTGCGTGGGGCATTTCATCGCTGTTTACAGAAAAGCACTACGAACCGCTGGCCCTGGGA